AAACTACTTCAACACTTTATCAGAAAGGGAGGGTTAAAACCATTCTGCAGTGGGAAACAAACTAGCATCCTTCAATTGCAATCCCACTGCTGATAGAATGACTAAATACAGTGCTGCCTGCTAATTCTGCTTGTATCTGGCCACTGCTGTCAAGGCATCAACAAGCAACAATCTTCAAATAGTCTGACAGCAGACAGCAGGAAATCCTGGTTTTCAATCTAAAACTCCATTGTAGTCTTGCTTCTCCATGAAGCTTTATAGCCTAACATTTACAGATACAACCTCTAGGGAAAACTAGGGCTGGAGCTGTAATGAAATTATTGTCCTTCACCCAAGGAAACCATAGATGAAACCACAGAAGTCAGTATAATTGAGAGAATTTCTCAAGCCAGTTAAAATATGATGGTGGGGTGGCACCTGAAAGAAGCAGTTCTTTGTGGTGTAAGGATTAGGCCAACCTCTTTCCACTGGTGTGGCTTAATGAAACTATTGCTGAGCATGTGCTGTCCTCTATACACTTACTTCAAGAACTGACAGGAAAACTGGGGACTGATGACCTAACTCCTCATTTTGAAACTCAGTTGGTGATAATGAAACATTTGAGGCTGAAAGCAATGACTGAAAAGTGTTTTGTTTTTTTTTTTTTCATCCAGGAACTTCTTTACACAGCTTCAGTGAACAAGCTTTAAGCTTCATCTGAACATACAAGCTGTGTGAATGAGTTGCCACTTTGGCCTATGTTCAGGCTATGGTACTAAGTGGGAAATGAATGAAAGCATCAACTAATACCAGTGGAAGCTCTGGTCCTGCAGTCACCACAGCTGAGTGTATATATGGTCTTCTCCATTTAATGGGAACAAGAAACAGCTTGCTGTTTTTAAGTGGCTGTCCAGGATTGTGACCTGAGGAGTACTGAATATGAGCACCAGCACGTGAACAGTACTGCACTGTGCAAATGTCCAGGAATGACTGAAAAACCACCAACCCCCTCTTTAACTGTCTAAGTAAAAATGTTTTTATGCATGCAACTTTTTCATTAAGTTTGCAAGAGAAAAGCTCTCCTGGGTGGAAGAAAGCCAGCACCGTTTCTCACAAGGGCACAGACATGGCTGTACTGCTAGTACACAAAAGGTGTCTTCCACAGAAACCATTTGTGATTACATCAATTTCATCGTCAATTCCATCACTTAAATCCACACACACACACACACACACACAAAAGTTAAACATCTCTACCCTTCCAGTTTGTTTCAATGACTTGCATTTGTATCTATATCATAAAGCTACCTGTGCCCTTCAACAGAGATATCTTACATATAGATTATCAACATGTTTTTCCAGACCAAAGGAACAAGAAGTTAGGTTAATTTAATAGAAAAAATAAAATATGGAATAACATTGATTTTGGCCAATATCAATTACAACAGAACTACCCTATTTTACAAATAACAACTGAACATTTTACACATGTACAGTATTTTTTCAGTAAAAATGAATGTGGATTAACAACGTGTCAGGTTGTTGTTTTTTTTAAGAAAACAAAGATATTAAGTTTTTCTCTATAATAGTGTTAGAGGCATTTGTAAGTACCCAAACAAACTCTTTACAATCTATTACATAATTAAATCTCAATTATGAATATATATTTATATAATATATATATATAATATTAACTTAAACTTTGAAAGCATTATGTTCTAGTTAAAATTGTTATATTGAGAAATGAGGCAGAAACAGACTAGTAGTTAAACTAGTACAAATTAAATTCTCATAACTTTTCATGTTTAGCAAGAAATCTGTAATGGGCACCAAAGGAGCTTCACAGGCCTCGTCATATAGAACCAGACGTGGGTTGTAATATTTATCTGCTCTCTAGCAAAGTGGGCATAGGTCTATATTATTAATTAATTTGTAAAATTTCCACAATAATTGTTGTATTTAAAAAGGAGGTTCTCTTTATTTTCTAACATTTACATGCTTAAACACCTGCAATACATTTTCTGCTTGTGTGTCCTGGAGAAATAACAGAGAGACTTTGCATGTTTTAAGTATTTTTCCCACAAAACAGTATCTTTGAAGTTGTGTTTACTGTTTTCTGCTAAAATGAATGGCTTCCAAACAGCATGCTAGGTGAAACTGATGAATATATATCGAACAACTGTGTACCTGGGTATAGAGACAAGACAGAGACCTGCCTCTCTCACCACTCCAGGATGGTTTTGCAGTGAGGTAACTTCATAGGCCTCAGCAGGATTGTTCCTGCTGAAATTTGTATTAGGAGCAGTTAAAAGCAGATTCAGGCCCATCAAGACAAGATTGTTACACCAAGAAAACAGTTGATTTATTGCCCTATATGTTAATACTCTTGGAGATGTATTTGGCACAGTGTTACAAGCTCAATTATAAATCCAGTCCTGTAAACACATTCTGTCACATACAGTCACACTGGCATTTCTGTATGGGCACTATAAAATATCCCCACATACTTGCATGATAATATCCCCTTTTTGGTGAACGTTACAAGACAACAATAATTTATGAATACTCCTTACATGTTAGCAACTTTTCAATTTCCACGTATACATTACTCTTGCTTATGCAAACCAAGAGTAGTATCTTCTAAACTTGTTCACAACAGGAACAATGTTTTTTTGTTTTTTGTTTTTTGTTTTTTTTTAATTTTTTTTAAGTTTATTTGAAATAGCTTTTACAATTTAAAAAAATAAAATAAAAATCCTAGCATATCTGTTAATAAGCTAGCTGTCTAAAAATGAGATCTATATGACCAAAAAAACCACTTTGGGCAAAACATATATACACACTGCATGTGATACAAAAAAACAGCACACAGCAGAGTAAGTAGGAAAGAATTGTGTGCAGAAATGATCATTTTTCTTTTTTAAATACTGGTACAAAAAGGACAGAACTTAAGTCCTGCAGATGACAATGTTTCTGTTTCCCTTACGGACTCATTTCCTGAAGTTCCCCCTGTCAATTCACAAAAAAGACTAATGCAAACTTTTTTGTATTGTTTAGTTTTAATCCATGTAAACGTATGTGTATTCTTGAAACACTCTTTGAATATCCTGAAGGGGAAACAAACAGGAAAAAAAGGGAAAGATAAAGACCTTCATAAAACAGAATAATCCTATAGTTGACAGGAAATCAAATCATGAGTTAAACGTTAGTTTTGGCATCAAATGCTTTGGTCACACAATACTGACTCTGTGATCCTGGATGCTCAGCTCTAAACACCCAGTTATGAAAGGTAGGCGTGTTGTAGGTTTTCCATTTAAGTTCCAACAAACAGTTCACCATCTCCCCAGACAAACAGGGGGGAGAGAGAGAGAGGTGGCTTTTTTTTTTTTCCTTTTCAATAATACGTGTTAATCTGTAAGTCTACAGGAGCAGGAGGACTCTGGGAGGTGTGAGTTCACCCCTTGTGCGTACATGTTCTGCAACACAGTTGCTGGAGCACTTTCCGCTGGCAGAGATTGTTCTTTTTCACCAGCATACAGAATCCTCCCTCGGCCCAGGACTCTTCCGTGGCTTCCGGAGGGCAGCAGCAAGAGAAGAGGGGGAAGTTGAAGGTTTGGAGAGCATGGTGTTTACAATGGAGGGAGGTTTAATTGGTCAGATAGGTAGATTTGGTTGAAGAGACCATTCAGGAGCAGGTAGCAAGTAGGAAATTTGGTCCATCAGAAGGAATTTCAGTCAACAGCATTTTATTTTTCAGGAAGAGATTTTGTGTGGTCCGACAGGGAATGATTGGTATCCATTTGTGAAAAAGAAAAAAAGATTAGAAAGAGAATGATTAGAAAACAGTGATATTTACAGCAAAGGAATTTGTTCTTGATTTTCATGAATCGAAAGAATAAAATAGACAAACCATGAAAAAAGAATAAACATTCTCAGCAGAAATTCAAATCCTACATAGTAACACATGCCCAGTGTTTGACTGTCAGGCGGTAGAATGAGAGCCTCCAGTTTGGTAACTTAACAGAGGAAAGACTTCTGTCCCTTCCTTGGCTAACCTACACTGCTGAGAGAACATGCCATGCAGTAGGATCCAGTTGCATGCCACTGCAGTTGCCTCCTGCGCCACGTTCCCATGTGCTGCACTGCAACTGCACTCTCAAGAACGGGCAGATGAGACAGAGGTGAAGTGTCCTCAGTCCTGGGCAACTGCATGTGTACCTAGATGAAGGTGTATGTGGACAACTAATCGAACCTACCATAATGAAGACCAAACTGATGTATATGTATATGCATGTAAGACTGTATTTTATAGTGGGTATCTTTCACACTGCTTAATGCAGGGCTTTATTTCAGTATGATCTTCCTCTTGGACAGCAATTCTTGAGCTGTTATCTACAAGTAATTAACATAGTAACATTTTCATAGAAGAGTAACATTATCTCAGAGTGCTCTCTCTGTAATTGAGATGTGTGAAAGGAATGAATATTAGTGAATAATTAAGCCAATCATATGCAATATGAATGATATCTTTGTTGCCTCAGAGAACCTGGAAGAAGTTTAAATCTTCATAACAAACTGAGTGCCCTCTATTCTTTTCTTTCCTCATTACTTTTTCACATAATTCAACTAATACTGCAATTACTTAACATCCTTTCTACTTACCAGCGTTTCCACAGATTAAAGTGATGAAACACATACATGCAATTCAATTGCATACATGTACACTAGGGTCCCATATAAAAATCTTTTGAAAGCAATGATTTTTGAAAAACAGGTAAGGAAGCAAAAGTAGGCTGCTGCAGGTAGGGAGAAAACTATTTTAGGAAAAATCAGTTGTGTATGTGACTAATTCCATGAATACACTACTTATGTAGTTTTCTCCTTTTCATAAATCTGAAAAACATGAGAAGTAATGTAGCCCTAAAATAGAGAATATAACAAAAGAAACCAAACCAAACTAATACATGTAAGAAAAGCTACCAAAAGGGGTAAAAATGATCTTTTCAGGGAACTGCACTCACCATCCTTGCAGACTGTTCCCACTACGCAGACACCAGAGTCTAGGTTATAACCACTTGGGCAGATCGTACAGTTTCTGTCTCCTTGACCACTGCAATCCAAACAGCTGGCATCACATCTGAAAGACAGTGGTAGGGGTTGGCCTTATGGCCTCGCCAAATGCAAGAGCACCCAGGAGAAACCTTCTGCATTGTAAAGGGTTTGTTTGCTGTTTCCAGAGGTATCAGCTGCTCTAGCAATGAGAATAATTTAAAAAGTAACCTCCCCTACAACTCAGTCCTGCTTTTTTTCCTCCAACCACGTTCTGTTCATATATTTTTTTTAGTAAGTAGTTGCATATACATAGTTCTTTGGAACTATATAAAAAAGTAATAAACAGAAGTATTAAACAGACAACATGTCCATATGCCACTAAGGGATGGACTCAAAGCCATATGATGGAAAAGACTGACCTGTGCCTGGTGATTTCATCACCTTTCTGACTTCTTTAGATTTTGACTGTATATTCATTTATTTTATTTTATTTTATTTTATTTTATTTTATTTTATTTTATTTTATTTTATTTTATTTTATTTTATTTATTTCATTTCATTTCATTTCATTTATTCATTTATTTATTTTTGAGTGGAAAACTGGAAAACCGTAACACACTGTGAGTTGGGGCTGTTCAGCCTGGAGGAGGCTCTGGGATGACCTGATATTGGCCTTTCAATATCTTAAGAAGAGTTGTAACCATGAAGAAGACAGACTTTTTAGCAGCGTCTGCTGTGATAGGATGAGGGAAAATGGTTTTCAAGCTAAAAGAGAGGAGATTTAGATTGGATATAAGGAAAAAGTTTCTTTATTATAAGAGTGCTGAAGCTCCAGAACAGATTGCCCAGAGAAGTAGTGGATACTCCATCCTTGAAGACATTCCACGTCAGGCTGGGTAGGGCTCTGAGCAACCTTCTTTGCACAGCACAATCTTCTCCAGGGCTTATTCACCCACTGCTACATGCAGATGAGCTATGCTGGACAGCAAGTCTTGTAATATATTTATGCCGTGTTTCTGTCTAGTAGCTGAAGAACTGAAATGGTCCTCATCAACAGTAATTAACTTGCTATTAAAAAGATTCTTCCACTTTGCCTTTTTCTTGTTTGTTATTGAGAAACACAGATCTTCTGCCAGATTTGTATATTCTGCATTTCTATGCTTATTTACAGGCTCTCACTACAGGCTTTTTAAAGTCAAAGACACATACATGTGCAAGAAAAACACTTTCAGAAGTTCCACATAAATGTAAGTCAAAATTAAAAAAAACACTTTTTACTTCATTTGTTTAGAATATGTATTTTTTTTTCTCTTCTCATAAATATTATCTTTCTCAACACAGTAATTCCTAACATACTGCTAATTATTAGAAACATATATTACCACAGATCATACCTTTTGCAGCTTTTGTATCCACTTTCAGTAGAGTGATCAAGGTAGTAACCAGTACTGCAGGATTGCACACACCTTCCATCTTCCAGAAAATAGCCCTGTGTGCAGTTTATACATGCATCTACTCCAGCACCTAAAATCAGAGAGAAAATACACTCTATTATTGGCTAGTTCCCCCTATTGCCTAACAGACACCATATCTCTAGCTGTAGCAAAATCTTACTGCCATTTTAGAGACAATATATAGCCTTGTTTACCTTCTTTCAAAGAGTACCATCAAACTATATAGGTGTATGTTTATAAGAAACCGTATTGCATAGTTTCACTATCTCTGTTCTGAAAGAAATGGATGTTGGTATTTCTGCAAGTGCCACAACATTTATAAATCATTCTTACAATCCAGAAAGAAAATGGAAGACATTGCAGGAAATTAGAAAGAGCATTATAAAAGGAAAAAAAAAAAAAAAAAAAGTGCATTCATACTTTCAATTATATTTTTATGTTAGCTGAAAGAGTTTGGCCATATGTATAATATGTTAGAGAACTATCAAAAGAATTCAGAGATTACATGTCAGCAGTCACATTTTGATATAGTAAAATAAAATCAGAGCTAAAAATAGAGAGTAAAGGAAATAATGCAAATAAATGTCAGTGAGATACCTGCACATGTTGCACATGAACGGTGACATGGTTCACATTCCCTGCCATTATGGTATTTTCCATCTTCACAGCGGATAGCACATTTTGTGCCGTGCAAACTATTACAAAAAGAAAAAAAAGCACAGTGTTCAGGTAGATAATAGGAACAACAGACAAGCTCATTCACAAATCAGTAGTTCCCTTTAAAAAAACAGCAACTCATAGATCAGGATTCACTGGCTTCCTTCACAGGTCATATTTTATAAATGACAGCAAATGACTTCAGGAGGGAATTAAATACAGTTTCATCTATGGTGAAACACAGGAGCTGTTTACAAACTAATGTAAATACTAGCAAGTAGGAGAGGACAGAAAAAAATGAACAATGTCATTATCCTAAAAATTCAGGCATGTAAAACACAATTACCCATGAGGAATTTGGCACAGGGTCAACATCACTGCATTTAAAAAATACACAAGACCTCATGCTTCATGTGAAAGACCAGCTGCATTTTCTGATACTGGCTACAGCACAGGTCAAGAGCAGATTGACAAGGAAGGAAACTGCCACCCTTTTCTGACACAGCAGTTTTCTTTGAAATCTCCAGTTCTGCATGGTGTGGGAGATTTGTCTAGATTACAGCTAAAGATATTCGGCCTGCAGGCACTTTTAAGCAGGAGCATAAAGTACTGACTAACAGGAAAAAGGAATAGCATGAAGAGACACATCTCCATGCTACCTATGCTCTAAGCAGCACTTATGCTGTCATGTTTTAAATGCTGACGTAGGGCTTTTTTTTTTTTTTTTTTAAGTTAGGACTTCTCTGCCATGCCTACCATCTTAAATAGAATCTCAGCTTTCACCAGACTGAACTCTTTCTCAAAAAATGCTCTTCAGCTACAGGGACTATCACCTTAAGTGAGAGCTAATGCTGTTTTCCAGACTGAAACCAACAAAGTTTTGCATGCTCAGCACCACTGGAAATTCTGAAGAGTAGATATGGTCCCAGTTTAGCAAAAGAAAAAAAAAAAAAAATTCAACAGATATGAGAGTACCTGCTTTTGCCCAACAACACACCTCAAAGTACTTTATGAGTCAGGTAGCATTATCATGTTTTTACAGATGGGAGAACTAATCATTTGCTGAGTTTAGTTAATGGTCCAGTAGCAGGATCAGAACTGGGATCCAGGTCTCCTGAGTCCCACCCAAAGTCCTGTCCACCGATCTAACTTTGACAAGAAAATGCAGTAATCGTTGAATCACCAGGGAATACAAAATGCATGTCCTGGAAGTGATACTGATTTCTGATTTGTCACATCCATGCAGATGATGTTCCTTGAAAACATTACAAAAAACCAGTCTCAGCTGGCTAATATTGTCCAAGTAAATGCTAAATGTAATTTACTTTTTAGAAATTTGTTTCTCCTTCTTTCTCTCAGAAATTACACTTGTCTTTCTCCAGTGGTCAGGTTTGTGCTCTGGAGAAATACAGGAAATGTGGACATAGCTATGACAGAGACTGTGTCCTATAAGGTCACAAGCATGCAGTCGTGGGTATTCTGACATATATGACAACTGTAGGAACTTCTGAACCGCTACCCTACTAAATTGATTTCACAGATACATAGAAAGTCATGCTGAGTCTGTTAAAATTCTTCAAACTCTAACTGAGATTGAAAATTTAATTACATTTTAAAAGGGAAGCAGATACTCATATTTCACAGAAACTGTAAACAGACCACATTCAATCCTATGCTTTCCTTCCCATTAGATCACACTTCCTCTTCAAAGGTCCCTTTATTTATTTATTAATAGAAAAGATATATTTGTAATAAAAATTGTGCAGGCACTTGAAAAATAGAAATGTAATATATAGAAATGAAAAATCCTTTACAAAACGTAGAAGAATCTAGCTCTTCATGTCCTGTAAACAAACACCTTTCAGCTTTTACTACCTGAAAGACAAAATTCCACTTAGACAAAAAGTAAAAGCTCAATGTCAAAACATTTGCAGAACACTGTACTCTGAAAGAAGAACCCCTACAGTTACTGAATACTGAGTTCATATTTTTTATGGCATGAAGCCAGCACATACTCCTTCACAGACTTTTTAAGATTTTTGACCTCAGCTGCTTAGATCAAAAGGTCATTCATTCATAAAGGAGCCTGGAATACATACTGATGCTTTGTGGGCTTTACCTATCAGTTTCAGGAATGATTAAGTCCTCCTATGAAATAAAAATATCCACTGCTGCTTAAAATAATGTGCACAGAATATCGTAACAGAATGGAGCCTGAGGTACTTGAGATAAGTGAATGACTGGATGTATGAAGAAACACAATAAAGATAAGAAAATAGTTTCTAACTATCACAGGAATGGATCAAAGATTAATATGACTCATCAGCTCAACCTCTAAAATAATCCTTGATTGCCACAGTGGAGGTCAAAGAAGTACAGAAGTCAGTTTTCCACATGACTGTGGCTTTTATTTTACCTGAAATGAAAGGTCTTTTAAAAACCCTTTGCTGGCCAAACTGGCACAAAGCTGCACAATAAAATACTATTTTAAAACCTAAACATCAATGGAAAACATGAAATAGGGGCAATTCAAGGTTGAATAGCTATCTAGTATCCTTCACTGTACGTCCAGTTTCATTAGCCTCTTTGGGTACTGCGTTTAGTGACAGCCATCTTTTCCTTACCTTAGCCCATGTTTGCATTCTGTGCAGATTTGGAATTCAACACATGTCTTACAGTTTTCACTGCATTTTCGGCAAACAATCTTATCTACAAAGAAAAAAAGAAAACAGCCCAGAAAACCTTGGTCAGTTATATTTTATAAAATTATCTGGAGATATTATTATGTGTCTTACAGTTTTCTAGCTTGAAACTAGAAAGACAAACAAAAATGTCTAAATTCTGTCATTAGGTTTTTCCTTCAGCAAATCTATTCATAAACACTATCTTCATTATGTTATATCTGAAGCCTCTACAGAAATATCATGTTCTGAGGTTGTTCAAAAATCTCTGTAAATGCTTTATATTTAAACTAACTATTTACAATGTGGACTTAAATTGGCTTTTCATACAGCAGATCAAGCAGTAATGGCTGCCATATGTTCTAGAAACTATCCTGCAATTTACTTTTCACACCTTACATGCAAATAGTCTGTCCTATCTTACACGTATTGCTGTTCAAAGAAACAATTTTGATCTTAGCAAAGTTGAGACATAATTTACCTAATATCTGCCTTTTCATCTCAAGAGCTCCCTACTTTAAGAGAAGTCTCTGAGATGCGGTGCCATGTAACTCTCTGAGAAGAAAAACCTGGTGGTCCCATTTTCGTAAATTTTCATTTACACATCTTGGTTGGGTGGAAGGGAAATCCCTTCACTGTAGTTCTCATAAAGTGGCAAATGGAAAAATTAGAGTAGTACCTGCATTTACTAATCCTCAAAAATGAACAGACAGCTTCATGGCACAGAGAGTAAAAGGTTAGGTATCTACGTAGGTCGCTCCGAAAGTAATGCCTCCTATTTATTTCCATGGAAACTACAACAGATACAAAGAGCAAATAACACTATTTGATAGAGAAAATTCTCAGCTACAAAATACTATTTTTCAACACAGTCACTACCATTAGCTGATTCACACAGATGAGCTGGTCGAGATGCTCTTCATTTCATGGCATGGATGCTTGGTCATCCAGAACATCGCTTGTCTTTCACATTGCTGTTGCCACTGCTGAAATGCACCACCCACCACCTCACTGTGCTCACATCTACTGTTTGGTTTCCATAAATGTTCAGCAAATACCGATGAATGTCAGCTGATGCAACTTTTTCTGCATGGAGAAATTCAATTCCCTTTGCTTCATTCTCAGTTCCATGTCAGATGCCATTTTGTCAGACTGCCCCTCTGTTGTCATCTGTCTCACAACAACAAAATGTAATGGAATATTGGTGGGAATGTTCAGACTATCCACATGTTCTGCCTCTGAGATTGTGGGTCAACATAACAGAAAAGGAGGCATTACTTTCGGAGCAACCCTTGCTCAGGGCTTGCAGTTGAATCAAGCACTGTGAGCACATGTTCATACTTTAAGCATGTGTCTAAAGCTAACTGAAGTTCATGTAGTTTAATCCTATGTTTAAATACATGTCCATTTTTGCTACACAAAGTTGGAAATAAAGTGGGCAATCTCAGGAGGAAATGGAAGCCCTGCATCTCATGTGGCAGAGAATTACTTCTCTTGAGTTATCACATCATTACACGTCAGAAACCTGCCTGAAACACTAGTTGCAACCACCTTTTCCACCTGAGGAGCCTAATTTTCTCAGAGATCCAATTCAGCAACCACGGTCAGTTTCTCAGCTGCCTCTTCTACAGCATTCCCACAGCATGGGAGAATGAGGAATTGGAATGCTTTGTGTTCACAATCTGGATGCTGCTTTTCCTTTCTGGAGCAGCAGTAACTGCTCTATCCTGCAGCTGACTGTGGACTACCTTCATTCTGCTCCAAATCACATACACAAATGAAATCCTGCCTCTAAGCATGATTTTTAAAATGAAGAAAGGTTAATATCTGAGTAGATTCTTGATCACACTTGCAATAATGTAATAAGAGGAGTAGGATAAGAGATAGATGCATTCAACATACTTTTCCTGCTTATCAGTATTCCATCAGCCTCCCCAGATCAAATTCTGTAGCCCAAAATAAAGAAATAGTAAGTAATACTAACTCTTATCCAGGTAAAACCCATCGGGGCAGGTGGTAATACAGCTATTGGTTACTTCATTCAGGTAGTAGCCAGATTTACAGGTCATGCACTGGTCACTATGGCCTCCAACACAGGTTTCACAATTGGGTGAGCATTTTTTACAGCGTTTCTTGTCTGCATTGTAGTGACCAGGTGGGCAGGTCGAAACACAGATCCTGCAGACAGCAGGGAAGAGAAGGCAGAGTCGTTAATGAAATAACCTGCCACCACATTCCTGGACCATGACTGCAAAGCAGAAGTATTTCTCAGCATTGCTGCTTTTGTAATGATCACGTGTTTTCTAATGATCATGTAACCCTCCACAGCATTGCATCAGGCTGTTTCTGCATTTTTTTTCCCTATAGCATATGCTATCTAACTGGCAAACACGTCGACAGACAGTCATACTGTACAATTTTTGACCATCTACATCTTTTCCCATCTTATTCAAATACAGTCACTGAAGTTGTAGTTGCTATCACAGTTATACACAAATAACCTCTCACGAAAGAAAAAAGGAAGAAATAATCAGGGAAGTGTGTTTGAGTGCTGTACTTGAAATTCTTAAACAGTTGGTTTTTTTAACTCCTAAGAAAATTTGTCAAAATCAGAGGAAAATAAATAATCCACGACTGCAGCAAAGAGAAGAAAAAAGGAAGTTAAGATACATACTAAAGAATCTATGAAGCAAAGATTTTTTTTTTTAATTTTGGTCTTACCGTGTGTTGTTCTTGGATTTGTAGTAGTAGTGAAGACAGTCAGTACAGTGATCTGGTCCTGGCCCATCACACCCTACTTTACTGCATTCTGCATTGCACGGACCTGCATTAAAAGCAAAACACAGGAAAGGAATTAAAAGTTCTCCTTTGGTACTTAGCACCCCTCAAAATATACTATTTTAACACAGAATACAATTACTGTGTTTTTGTATATTTGAGCTTATGTCCAAACTGTAATTTGATCACAGCGAAAGGAGAAATTTTTTAATATTTGAAGATCTTTGCAGACACTGGCCTCAGTATGTGTTCACACTGATACATAATTTTTAACAGCCATGGCATCCTCTGTATAATCTATCAGATACTATTTCTGGATCCAAACAGTCTCTTTTCTAACGACTAACAAATCAATCTAAATTATATCTGGAAGCATGCAAAGACTTCTGAAATTCATAATATGGAATGATTAGCAACACTGCTTATCATAAATAGGTCAACATAATCACCAGCTATTTTAGTCAACAAATGGGGAGGTGGTCCAACTGGCTACCACAGCAGAAGTGATCTAACCCCCAGCGGCCAGATTCACCTCCCTTTGTGCTGCTACATGCTGCAAAAGCCTCGACTAACTTTTGCTTATTAGCAAGTCCTTCATCTCATCCACAGTCACGTTTACACTTTCCGAACAGTTCCAAGCAGCTAGGGGATGAGAGAGCCACCATTTCCTGCCTTTATGTAGGGGACAAGCACATGTGTGAACTCTCAACTGTGTCAGGATCATTGCTCCATGTAAATGAACTTCTAAGCTTCCCAGACACCTTTACATGACTCTTAATATCAAGTGAACTTGAACAAAAGCAAGTTCATATAACAAAAGCTTAGTAACCTTTACAGCAGGGACAGCAGTATTTCGTGATCTATCAAAACAAGGGGTTGAGCAGTTCTCAAGCAAAAATAGGGACTGTTTGTCTGAGACACTATGACAGGAGACTGTAATAATACAAACTTCTAAGTTGAACATGTGCTGTTAGCTTGCAAGAGTTATGCTTAAGATTCATCAGCACTAATCATCTAGGTAAAGGTACTGACACTGTTGGAATACATGCAGGAATACTGCCAGCTTGACTTATGCAGTACAAAAAATCTAACTCTTTTAAGCCTAATGAAAATACTGAAAAACTTTTATGGGGATAAACAAGAAACAACACATGTAGATGTAGAAGGTAAAATTCTCCATATATACATTTGTGCATACATATATATAAATATTTATGAAAAGTAGTGCATTCTACAGAGAATGTTAACCGGAGCTTAAAAATATGAAACTGTCTAAAAACTCATAGAACATTAAGTTATGAAACAAATTGTTCTGAACTCCCACTACTTCCATACCAAGAATATCCTTATGAAACTGTTTTTGCAAAGTCATTCTGTCAACACTGTGTTCTAGCTTCAGTGCATTGATTTTTCCACTTACAAATATCATAAATGCTGCATAATTGTTATTAATTTTGCCACTGCACTTCTAACTAATCAGATGAAATATAAATACAGCCTTGCTGTTCTAGTCAGAGAAAATTCAAGAAAAGCTCAATTTATTAAATATATTTCTGTCTGGCTATTTTTATTTTTGTTTCTGGAAACTTTCAGTACTGCCTAATTGTTTCCCAGGCACTGAAGGCCACAGATCCTACAATGGCATCAGCATCATAGTCTTGAACTAATGCAAAAGATCTAAGAGACAAAACATGGAAGAAAGCAGATACTAAGTAAGCAAGCCAGGAGTCTTCACAGTGTGTGATCATATTTCACAATACAAAGTCTGATGTTTAATATATGCAGAGTCTCAGGGCAGTAAATGCACAGAGTAAATTAATGTACGTACCTGAATAATCTTCTGTTCCATAATCTTCTGTAGGATCTTCAACTGGACTGGAGCGTACTCTTTCCACTTTTGGAAAGTCATTTCTTGGTGAGTATGGCTGGATGGATGTTCCATATAGTACTAAGGACCACTCTTTCAATTTGCCTAAAAGTATTAAAAATCTAGTTTTATAAATCATTTCATATTTTCTCTGTCTTACAAAATATATCACCTGCGAACAGGAACTCTGAGTAGGCATGGAAGACTTTGCTTAGTTTAATATTGACAGTGCGATCTCTGTTTCACTGTAAACTGAGAAAACATAGTTTTTTCAACCAGATTTTGCACAGTATTTTTTGCACTCCCTCCTCTTGTAAGTCTAATAAAAGTTTGTATGGGGGAACTCAACAAAAACCATAAACAAAAACCTTAGGCCATACAGTTATTTGGAAAACTTACACTCGTATTCATCAAGGAGCTTTTGCTATAGATTTCACTTTTCCTCAGAAAATGAATTGTCCAGTTATTATTATATCTCTCAGCTAAGTAGTTGTATTCAGAATTCTGACTTAAGAACAGGGTTATATTTTGTCAGTTATTACTCATGACTACTTTTCGTTGCTTTATGGAATACATCTCAACAAAAAAAGAGGAAACAAATTCTTTTAAAGTCTCTATAGTAGAATATCAATGTCCCTTCCCAAACAAGCATAATTTGTTATTTCTTTGGCCTAGTTATTTTGCACATACGTCACTTCACTGTCTGACTTCATCACCAATTTTTTACCCTCTCAGTATCTAAGCGATGGAAGAAAATAAATGTTTTTCAGCCTGAAGTATTTAAGTACTTTTATGTAAGTTCTGTTGTTGTGTTTTTTTCAAGTCGTGAGTCCAAGCTGTCAAAATGTAAAGTGTAAATATTCAGACTTCGCCTCCCTGTCCACATTTGCCAATAAATTAGTTCCATGAAAAGTGCAAAAGACTCAGGTCTGAAATAACACTTCGAGCAGCAATGGATAAAAAATTATACCCTGGCTCAAAAACATGGTAATTAAGTTTTGGTCTTGACCCAGTCTCTTGATTACATTTACCTATGTTGAAGCAGCAGGTTGTGAAATGTACAGTTCTCATCAGAAGATTCAAGAGAAAAGGGGAGCAGGGAGCATTTTTTTTCTGAATTTGACAGATTCTATTTTTGGATGCCATCATGAGGCCTCCCCTCAGCCTGCTCTTCTCTTGGCTGAGCAAATTGAAGAGACCTCAGCTGCTCCTCACACATTCTGCCTTCCAGATAATTCACCATCTTTGCAGCTCTCCTGTGGATGCTCCCTAATGGTTTTATGTCCCTCTCTTATTGTGGCACCCAGAGCTGTAGGTGAGACCGCACAGCACAGAGCAGAGCAGACAGCCCCTCCCCTCGCCCGCTGGCAGTGCTGGGCCTGCTGCACCCCAGGTACAGTTGGCCCTTTGGGCTGCCAGGGCACACTGCTGGCTCGTGTTCCACTCGCAGTCAGCCAGAGCTCCCAGATCCCCATTCCACAGGGCTGCTCTCCAGCCTGTTTTTCCCCACTCTGTACATATATCCAGAATTGACATGTTCCAGGTGCAAAATCTGGCACCTGCTCTTGTTAAATTTCATCTGGTGGGTGACTGTCCAGCTCTCTAATTCATCCAGATCTAGCTATGCTAAAGAATCTCCTATTGCCAAAGAATGATCACTATCTGACAGATACTAACACAGCTCTCTTAAATGATTTGTCTTGGAGTGAATATAGCTTCACCATGTATGCTGTCTGTCCTTTCTGCATTTTAACTCACTTTTACAGCATATTGATTATAATATATTGAAAGCAGCTGAAAACTGTTTGTGTTGCTTTGTTACTCTAAATTTTCCTCCTTCCCTTTACTGTGCTCCAATCATCACTAAAGTTTCAAAGTGTTGATTTTATATGTCTTCCAGAACACTGGTAAAAGTACGGAATACTACAAAAAAATATTTGCAAGGACCCACTAAAAATAACCACAGGCAATACTTCTTGGGCACAGAGTATTGTTGTGTCCAGACTTACTCGAAGGGTTTGTTCTAACATACTGGCAGGAAGGTTTGGAGCTTTGACCTTATACCTAATGCAAAAGAGCAGCAACAGGAATAATGTAGGGTCTGTCAAGAGATTAGCTGCCTTTTAAGAACGGTTCAGTAAATAAAAAGGAAAAAAAATTCATGTGACTTGCCAGCAAATAAATGAAGCCCGCCTCAAGGCAGGTTTAATTTGTACAATGAAAATATTTCAATAAACAATTATATATACATACACTCTCTTTAATAATGAATAGACAAAGTCTGCACATTTATGCCAAAATCTTTCTTTCTCCATTTTTGGCTGCTTCCATCATTTTGCTTGGCTAGAATAATCCCTCACCCTCCTTGTATTTAGTACATTACAGAGGTCCCATGTTATATGTGCAAAAGAAAGGGTATATCACAGTGTTTCATAGCAAACACAAGTCCACTTCCATAAATTCTACAGAATTAAATGCAGAAATCACATGCACTGCTTTATGAACTGAACCCTGCCATTCTCTACAGGCAACAGATGTGGCACTACCTTGTCAGGGCAGGGATATGATGACATGTTGGGTTTTTGTTCTCAATTTGATTACAGGAATACTTCAGCTCTTAATTATAAGACCTTTCAATAGTTAAACAAACACATGCACACAAAGAAACAAGAAACAGGCATGATGGCGATATCAGTCTGATAAACTGCAGGCTACACAGGCACCATAAATTGCACGGAAGTTATAGTGTATAGACTAACTCTAACATGATTAAACAGCTGAATATATAGCATGCACTTTCACAACTTTCTGAACTGACATGTTACTGAACAAATTTCATTAAGAGGTAAGAATAAGTCTAGAAAGCTGAGGGATGTATTACTAAATACTGTTCAGTGAGCCAGGATTTAAACTCACCATCAGACTACAGCCTGCAAAATCCAAATGCATATAAACACCTAAGATCCAAAGAAGTGATTTATATTGTGGTAAAAAGAAACTAAAGAATAAATTCTCCTATATGATTCCTTGAGCATATGAGCTTTCTTCCTCAGCTCAGCTGGGAAGGTTTACTTTTCTCCACATCCCCTTTTCTTCCAGAGGCTGAAGCAAAAAATGATCAGCTCTGTATGACTAGCCACCATAGAACTGAGAAGATTATATACAAAGAATAGAAATCAACAGATTATTAAGATCTATACAGTGAATCATATGAAAGAGAAGCATGCAGGAATAGTATAAAGCTGGAAATGTATGTGGTGATTTGGTGACATAAAAGGGCTATGAAAGATGTCTGGTGGATAGCCCAGCTGAAGAGTTTTCAAAATGGCTCTGTTCTAGGTTTCAGTGTAGGGAGCATGCCAGGGCACAGAAAAGAGGGCAATAGCTGAAGTGTGTTGCTCTTTGGCTCTCCTTCATGCCCACTGGATGAGCCACTGGGTTCTGCAGTATGCACAAATGTCTACCCTAACTTGTCCTTTAGGCTGCAGAGGTTCCGGTTGCTTTAGGATTACTAAGTACTAAACTGAGTTGAAAAACTGATTTTTGTCTGTTTTCCTTTTAGTAAATTATGACAATTGAATTATGTCATTGCTGTTTCTTCTATCAAATTCAAAAGCACTTAAAATTATCTGGATGTACCAAAAAAAAAAAAAAAAAAAAAAAAATCAGTAGAGTTTTGTTCTATACAGTCTATGACTACTTTGCCAAATACCTTTTATGAGTGTCCCTTTTAGTGTACTGGAAACTTTGCTCTGCATTTCCTTGTGCAATTAATTACACTTTGCTAAGAACCTTTCATCAACGTAAAGCCATGATGAGGAAAGAGTGATGCAGATAAAATGAAGCTAATATTGCAGAACTGACAATGTTATTTCCTTTCAGAGCTCTGAAGGATGATAATCAGGATTTTTAAAACTCTGTGCTTATAGTTAACCACTTGAATATATAATATTAACCACCTTGGAGACCTCATGAACTTTAATAAGAAGTTGTTTGCTGCTGAACAATCTTGAAAATAATGATTATGCTGGTCTTCAGAACTGAGTGCTGCACACTATATTACGTACCAGGTTTCACAAAGGAATGAGCTGTGATTGCTAGTTCAGCATTCTGAAAAAAAATCAGGATATGCAGACAACGGAGAAAAGCAACAAGAGAACTTGATTCGGTGGCCAGACAGGCAAAAAGACTTTTTAAGAAGCACAGAGATTGCCTCTCTGCCCATCTGCTGCATTAAACAGAACACAATTCAGCTAATGAAGAGCAGAACTAAAGAACTAAAATTCTCATTCAGTTCCATCTGTTTCTACTGCAGTTGTGTGAAGCTGATCTATGTTTCAGATTTTTTTAGATAGAAAATCAGCACTTCCATTTTGTCATAATATTGAAATGAGATGGTTTACTTTTGTACAAAGAAAACTATAAAAACCCAGCTGAGTTTGGCCTATTATCCACTTGGAATAGGAAGGAGACTGGACAAAACTGTGTTCTCACATTAGAATTCCTCCTGTGCCCTAGCTTTTTCTAAGCCACAGTGGAAATAGACACACTGAGTTTGCAAGCTGCAGGAGAGCCTGGATGAGCTGCCCTCCCAGCACGACTGTCTCCTCTGAGAGAGACATGTTTACCTTGAACAGGTGAACTGCACACAGCCTTCTGACCATTGTGAATAATTCAACAAACCAAAAGAAAATGTATTCCATCTCCCTGTCTAGTTGCAGAAGTAATAATGGGCATTTCTTGGACAAAGCTGAATTGACACAATTAATATTACTTAATCTTCCATATTTTAAAGCATGGAAATTTTAAGAATTTCACATTTTAATCACTGTTTCTTTACAAAATATATTTTTATGGCTTCAAGTTAGCATCTATTTCTCAGAATTCAGAATGCGTTTTTAGCAAATTAAAAAAAAATAAAAATAATCCTGTCTGCCTTTTGAGTCTACATAGCTGAAATGTAAAGAATCTTGTAGTTCACTGAATTATAAATTAATTCTACTGCTAATGTCATTGTTGTCCTAAATATGTTATTTTATAGAATTCTAGTCATTAATTTTAAGTTATCAGAAAGCAGCAATGAACTAAATTTGTCACTTCCAAAG